CTCCAAGCCCCGGGGGGGGGGCCCTGCCTCTCTTCCCAGCAGGTCAGAGGGGTACAGCCAGAGGGAGTGGAGTCATTAAGGGACTCTGTCCCCCCCACCTTCATCCCTCACTGAAGAGCTGGTATAAAGCAAGAAATGCTTCTATATTGCATTGTGCCAGTGCACCCCCATCCCCTGGCTTGCTCTGTAACACGGCAAAAAACTTTATCTGGAATCTCAGGATTCCCTGTGCTGACAAGACACCATTTGGGTTGCCATAAACACAAAGCCAATGCAAAGGACAACAGAGGAGCCCCCCCCCCCCCTCCCAGCGCTGAAATGGGTAGCAGTTCTAAACATTTGGTTTTCTGTTTAGAAAACAGCCTGTTGAATTGTGCTACTTCTGGTAGCAATATGTTATAGGAGCAGTTCCTGCTACTGGTGGCAGTCTTAAAAGGGAGCAGCTCACTACAAACCACCAGCCAGTGGATGCAAGGCGGGGGGGGGGGGGGGGGGGGCGAAAGCCAGATAAACATGCCCCTTCATGCCCAGACTCCCACACTCCAATCCCCTCACTTGTCCCTTCCCCCCCTCCCCCCAAGACCTGCACCCCCAGCTTGCTCCTGGATCCTTCCTTGTGGCCAGACATTCTACCCCAAGTCCCCTCCTTTGATTCTGCACATCCCCCTTGGCCAGACACCTTCCTGAACCCTTCCTTGCTCTTGCTCCTTCCCCTCTGGCCAGACACCCTACTCCTAGCCTGTTCCTGCACCCTACCAGCCACCCAGACCTCACCTCCTCCTGCACCACACCTCCCCCTCAGATCCTGCACCCCTATCCCACTCATTGGTGGCCCTGTCCTGCACACTGAACCCCTCATTTTTGTCCCCACCCCACAGCTTAAGGCCTCTACAAAATCCACAAACTCTGGAACCACAGAAAAGTAAATCTGGCCCAGGGGAAACCCTGAACCTCAGTCCTCCCTGTCCTTTCCCCTTGCCTCATGGGGTTGGAGCACCAGAGGAGTGAGTTGTTTCATTTTGAGGGCCACATCAGTGCATGTTGGTTTTTTTTTTGGAGGAGTTGTATTGCTTCTCACTTGTGTGATCCCCATGATTTTTCTGTGGATCTGTTGTCTCTGGCCCTAAAAAGGTTTCTCTCCCCGCCATAAATAAAGAAAAAATGGCAACCTTTTGTGATGGACATAAATAAATAATTTAAATTAAACCCAAGTAAAATATTAAACAGATTAAGCATTTTAACACTCTCATGTTAGTTTATCAAACTTCATTTTAAACATTCTCCCTAGCTGCAGCACTGGCAAAATGGTTCGGGTGTAATTATGTAATTAATTATGAGTTCTATTAGCAACTGATGGTCCTCGGAAAGATTTGCATTGATCTAGGTGGCCCCTGGGCCAAAAAGTTTGAGAACCACTGACCTAGAGCAACCTCACCCTCACTTTTCCATCAAGCACTATTGATGTGGAAGGAGAGGAAGTCTCACAGTATATGTCTACACTGATAATAAAAATCTGCAGCTGACCCATGCAGCTGACTCTGGCTAAGGGGCTTTTTAATTGGGATTTGATTTGGATCAGTCATGGGTGTCTAATTGCAATGTAGACATAATATAGATAATGCAGATAATACAGCTCTTGACTATCAGTTTTCTGTAGCATCTCTAGTACCCTTTATCCTGACTCTAGCGTATATATCCCCTTGAAGATCTTCTAGGTTCTTTGTTGTGGGAGGAATTGTGTTATAAGCTGATACAGGGTAGCATTTTAGCCCTGCAAACAACTTGGGCAAGTTTTGTAATAAGTTGCTACATTTCCAGTATTAAGTCATCGGAGCACATGTGTGATCTTGAATCTACTGGGCTGTCAAAATACAAAAAGTGGATTCCAATTTTTTGTGGGGGTTGGATCTTTTCACAAATTCTTTACACTAACATTAAAAACCAAGGAGGTCTCTTTAAAGTTTAAACTAGGGCTACTCAACTTTGGAAGCCCCGGGGGCCACAATGCTACTTACAGTACATGCTGAGGGCTGCAACTTAAGCATTATACATGCAAAAATATATGCTAATAGCTTCTTTCACACTGAGGGGCATGAATACAAAGATTAAGGCTAGACTACAGAATACGCAGGCCCCATTTAAGTCAGTTCTGGTGATATTAATAAAATGCAGTATTTACCTGATTTCTAGCCTTATGACAGCACTTTTAATGAGCAATGACAGTACAAGAATTTAATGACTAAAATGCATATCAACAGAAGACCATTATATTGACTCGCTGTTGTGGAGCGTGTTCCCAGTGGGAGTCCATGTTCAAAGGATCCCACCCGCAGGCCATATGTTGAGCCCCAGGTAAACCCAAACTACTCTGTCGACTGCATGTTCAGTAGCCCAGGTTTAAACTATAGGGCGTCCCTGCTATATTGTGCTGGTATACATTTGTTCCGCACTAAAGTTATTGATGCTTGTAGGAACTGATACTTTATAAGTCCTCCCAATCCCCCCTCTTAAGTAGGGCAAAAAAAACAAATCCCAATTTGTGCAAATGGAAGTCAGCTGTGGGAAAAAATTCCCCAATTTAAGTTGTTTCACTACAAATACAAGTTTTTTTGGATCGTATTTTTTACTTATAACGAGTACTGCCTGTACAGGATTCTGTGGTATCTTTCTATATCTCGACTACTGAGACTGGGCCAGGATTTTCTACTTAATGAAAAGTAGTGAAAAATGTCTAACATGGTTGATGAAATTGGGTGTGTCCACTGTGGAGAACTAGATATGCATAGTCTCTCTAAAGACTGTCATTAATGGCTAAATGTTGTCAAACCAGACTTGATTTCATCACAACCACTTAAGCAACACTTCACCATGTTGCCAGTAAATAAATGTGATTGCTTTATGAAACCGGTTTTAGGAAGAGGAACTCTTGAATGCAAAAGATGAGGTAAAGCAAAAATGTTTTAGACGTGCTTTGAAGACCCACTAATGTCTTGTTGAGAAGTTGGAGTTGGGAGTATTTGTCTGTATGAAATGTTGTGAGTAGAATTATTTGGGCTCCCAGTTTTGGCAGCTGGGTACCTTTGGTCATTGCTTTAATGGGTCTATAAAGACTGAGCAGTGATCCGTGTAAGCCAGTGTTTCTTAAACTGTTCCATGGCGCACAGTCAGAAAAGTGCTGCAGACAGAGTTCAAAATGGCTGCCCTTAAAGGGGCAAGCGACCTTTTTGCTCTCAATACTCCCACCTCCCTTTTTTTTTCCTCTTAACAAAAATCCTTGGTGTTCCTCATTTAAAAAAAAAAAATTGTTTGGTGTTCCTTTGTCTTAAAAAGTTTACGAAACACTGTTGTAAGCTGTGTGTGTTTTGCAGCCACTCAGGAGAGATTCAGATACCACCAAGCTGATTAGCAGACTGCTTATAGTCAGGTTTTGTTTCTGTTGGTGGTGCACATTCACATATGCCTTGCTTCACATACAGTTATTTCACACACAGATAGAAAAAAGGTGTATGTGGCTCAAAAAGATTAAAAGTAATGTTGAGACTGAGCAATGCTGCTATCAGTGAGGAAACATGAACTAGTGAAAGAATGGATTCTGAAGTTCTGAACTCTTTGATCATGGAGACATGGTGAGAAGAAAGGATGTTAAGTCTGTGCCAAGACTCAAAAGAGATGTCTTTTATCTTTGTCTTTCACTATGTTGCCATTAATACTTGGGAGAAAGGGGTGCTTGCTTTCTTGCTGTTAGATTTAAGGTATGTGATTAATAAAAGAACATCTCAAGGTCTAGGCCAGTGATTTTTCAAGGTGTGGGTTGTGGAATGTAAGGCACTGGGTCACCTTGCTCAGTCTTTCAGTGACCTGGTCAGCACTGCCGATTGGGCCATTAAAGTCCCATCAGCGGTGCGTCCTGGCTACGGCTGGGTCGTGACTGCTCTTTTTGAAAACCACTGGGCTAGTTGCAATATGTTCTGACGCTGTGTTGTGCTGGACCTGCTGTTGGAAGTGACCAGCAGCAGGTCCAGCTCCTAGGTAGGGGGACTACAGAGGTCTGCGTGCTGTTCCCACTCCAGTCACCAGCTCTGCACTTCTTTTGGGTAGGAACTGATCAATGGGAGCTGGGGCAGCAGTGCCTGTGGATGAGAGCTGCATGGAACTGCTTGTGTGCACCTTCACCTAGGCGTCAAACCTTCTGCTGGCCACTTCTGGGGTGAAGTGTAGCCTGCGATGCCAGGAGAGGCAGGAAGCCTGCATTAGCCCCTCCTGCTGTGCCACTGACCAGTAACCACTGGAGGTAAGCCCACCCCAATCCTGTGTCCCAGCTCTGAGCCTCCCTTATTCACTCCAAGCCTGTCATCCCTAATTCCTTCTCAAAGCCTGAGCCCTGACCCCTCCCACACCTCAACCCATGCCATAGGCCAGAGCCCCTTGCATTCCCAGCCTCATCTCACAGCCCTCACCCTTGCAATCCCAACCTTCTGGCTCTGTCCCCTCCCAGCTTCCAGATCTCAAATCTCTCATCCCCAGCTCTGTTGGGTCACAGGCATCAACAATTTTCTTCATTTGGCATGCCAGAAAAAAAGTTTGAAAATCACTGGTCTAGACTTGGTATCACTTGAAACTCAGATGGATTACTCTGACTTGATTTGCATAGCTGGCTTTAGTTGTCTGCCTCAGTGGTTCCCAACCTTTTTTATTCCACGGACCGGCAAACCCATTCACAAACGTTTGGCAGACCGGCAACATTTTATATGCATATTTGCATTAGAGATGTTAAACTAATTGAATACCTAATGGACTTTCCATGGACTATTCAGTTAGTCGATAAGGGCACTTCCACCTTTGAAGTTGAAAAGCGGAAGTCCCGCAGGGAGCCCTCTGTGGCTCTTGTACATTTCAAAAGCTGAAACACAGCAGAAGCAACATAAGTGGAGACTGCTTTAGTCCCTGCTCATGGCATTTCCTGCTGTGTGTCTATCTCTGCCCCTCTTCCCTCCCCCCCGACAGTGCTGGAGGGAACCAGCTTTTAAGCAGCAGCAAGGGGTGGGGGGGGCTGGAAGCAACTAGTCTACTAGTAATGTACAGCCCTAATTTGCATATTCATTATGTAAATAATAGAATATGCAAATATGTGAATAAAATGTTGCCAGTTGGCCTAGCTCCAACCCAGCCCCTTGCTCCCCAGTGCCTAACACCCTCTGACCCCACTCCTATGTCCCATGCCCTTTGATCCTTTAAGCTACAGCCCACACCAACACCCTCTTGCCCCAGACCCCATCATGCCCTCACTATCACCTTTTTTGCCCCCACCCACCCTATCCCCACACTCACCAGAGCTGTTACTGCCATGTGAGCAGGCAGAGTGAACCTTCTCCCTCCCCCAAGTGCAGAATGGGGAGGCAGGTGGAAGGTGCTTCCTGCTGCTGCTACCTGAGCTACCATGGCTGCTGAAGGTGAGCTGCTGGAACAGTAGGCTTGAGCTCTGGCAGCTGCTGTGGCCTGGCAGTGGGTTGCAGACTACCGGTTGGGAACCGCTGGTCTACGAGGTGCACCATGAGCCAGTGAAAAGAACTGTCAAGTGTGTGTACTGCTTCCTTACCATTGTATGTAATATAGCTTCTTGCACAATACATTGCTTACTAAGAACTGATGTAAGAGAAAATGGTTCTCTTTATAACCTGACAAGAGGAATACAGAAACACTCATTTGACCAATTACGATGATTTTATAATTCTGTCTTTTCAGTTGAATTTAAAAGGAAGTTTGAGCATATGGAACTCACAAATCTAGAAAGGCAATACATATTGTAGCATGCGGTGTTGTTGTAGTTATGTAGATTCCAGGATATTAGAGAAACAAGTTGGGTGAAGTAATAGCTTCATTGGACAAAATTATGTTGGACAGAGAAGCTTTCAAGTTACACAAAGTCCTTCCTTAGATCTATAAAAGTGACTTACTTCAGTGACAAATAGATAGTTTAGCATAAGTAATTAGCACACATTCTGACCTTGTATTTAGCTATGACACGGAGTACCTTTTCTAGAACTGAAGAAGAGCTTTATGTAGCTCAGAATTTTCTTTTTCTCATTTTTATTGGATTAACTTCTGTTGCTATTACTTCATGACCTTATCGCTTGTCAGCAGAACATACTTGGTTACCACAGTTGTTCCTACTTTTAAATACAGGGGAAAACTGTGGAACTTCAGATACTTATGTGGTAAATGGATGGTGAACACTGTACCCCGTAGTAGGGATTTTAGGTATCCGTTAATTAACTGATGGAGTAGTTGATGGAATTTCCATCAACTACTTGATTAGTCAATGGGGGAGGGCACTCCTGCTGCAGCTCTGCACTTTGAATGAAGTAAAGCCAATAGGCTCTTACTACATTGAAAGTGCAGAGCCACAGCAGGGTTTTAGCTCCTGGGGACAGTGCAGTCCCAGCTTGCGCCATCCTTGGGACCACTGTGACTCTGAATCCCCTGGCTTTTAAGGTGGCTTCCCCCAGCACTGGGTCCTGCTCCCCCTTTTCCCCCCGCCTCTGTATCAGAGGGAGTGGGTGAGGGAGAGAAACCAGTTGAGTACTCACTTGACTAGTCACTTATATCCCTACCCATAGCTTGTGAAGTGAGTCCATCTTGTGACAGTTGCATTGCCTCAATTGATTTATTTTTTTAGGGTATATCTTCACTATAGTGTTACTCTCTAGAGAGTGTTTAACTGGTGCAGCCCTAATTGTCCTTCCCTTGTACACACACAAGCTTCTTGAGTTCAGTGATGCTTTCAGCCTCTGCAAGCTAGCCTTTGAGGAGTTATGGTTTGGAAACTAGGGGGCTTTCATTTGGGCTGTTGATTGTGCAATAAGGATGCAGGCTAAAATACTTCTATGATAGTCCTTTAGTACCTGTCCACAGTTCTTGTGGACCACATTCTTGCACAATTCATTGGGCAGCTCATCTTACTGTATTACACAGAACCATAGCATATGCTCCCAGAAGTTGTAGCAAGAGACATGGGGGAAAGGAATTGCTGTAGCATTTAAAAAAAAAAATTGGGCAATGCTTTGCAGTATAACTGCTCAGATCCAGACTAGGCAACTTGTGTGGGGCTCTGGCTTACAATTACCTGAGTACTTGCTGTGAAGACTCCCTTCTGAGACTGAGGAGGAGTAGGATAATGAGAAATAAGATGTTCAGTGAAAGGATGAGTTTGTGAAAAGAATGAACTGGGTACTGGAAGTGCCCAGTCCAACACTTGTGTTTTTAAATAAAAACCATCTGGGAACAGGTTTCAGCTTAAAACGGTTCATTTTTTACTTTTTTAAAAAATCCAACAATTGGACACAACTGGATTAAGTATTTTAGTGTTTTGCTTGGTTTTCATGTGATGTCTGACTAGTAATGTGTTTTGTTACTTTCATTCCCCCCTCCCCCCTCTGCGTTTTTCATATGTGCTCCAGCTCTTGCATTTTGACACTGGAATTGGGGCAAGAAGATTAGTGAATAGGAGAATCATTTTTAGTTGTTATAAACTTAATGAACCAACTGTGTACAGGTCTTCTCTAGTCAGGCGTACTCTGGTTCAGCAACAGCCATGGTCCGGAATGACTTCACTTAGCCAGAAGTTTACTTATCATGGGTGTGGCCAAGTTTCCCACTGTCCCATAAAAAGTTTTACAGCCCAATCCTGACTCTGTGTTCTCTACTGTTATTTAGTTCTTATTAGCCCGTAAATGTCTTCTAAGACCCCAGTAAGTAGTGGAAGTGTGGGTAATGCTGCTAGACAATATTGACCTCCCGTAGATCAGCAAATCCTCTACTTTTGCACTGTCAGGTCTCGAGGGTATCGGATTTAAGAGATTCAACCCGTAGAATATTTGGTTATGGTTAAAGGCATTCATAGTATTTAACTGGGTTAATAATAGTTCACTGAAAGTTATCATTTCACTGTAATAGCTTTAATCTAAAGCAGTTTACAAAACCAGTTAATTAGTAGTAGTACTAATTTTTAATATGCATACTTTTGTTGTTTGCTTTTTAAAGTACCCTTTCTTACTCTTTCTGTTTGAGCATAGACCTCCATCTAGCATCTCTTGGGTGACCACTTTATATCTGTAGTACCTATCGTTCACTCAATAAGCTGTCTGAGAATTTACATGCTTATGAAAATCCACCAAACTAACTGCCCATTTTAATCTATTTATGCCAGTATGCAAACTTGTTTTGATTTTAATGGCTCATTTATTCACTGGAAGCACTGAATCTCTCTCTGAAGATTTAAACCCTTTTAAATTATTGTTTTTTATGAAACAAATACAGTCCAAATGATCACCTGTGTAGAATCTTTTCCTTCACTAATGTTTAAGATGGAGATTGGGGAAATGGAGAAATGCAAGTAGCTTGTCTAATATTTCTAATTACCTGTTCTCCATAGGTCTAGTAGTGTGAGTTGAGAGCCAGTTTAATTCCAGTGTTGCCACTGACTGAACTCAGTCAGTTCTCAAAGATCTTTACTGTCTTTTCATGTGAAGTTATTGAAAATGTTTCAGCCCCTCAGTGCAATAAAATGATTATTCCCATTACTTAGTTTGGATAGTCCTAATTATTAACGTAAGATTGGAAAGTTATTTGTATCATTTGTAAAAGTTATTGCTGATCAAAATTTTTCTCATTACATTAAAGGTATTACACCATACTTTGTGTAAAGCTGCAAGTGTTAAGTTTTCTTAAAGATTTAACTTTATATGCTCCTAAACTGAAGTAATTGTGTTGTCTTAGTGTGTCTTTTTTACCCATGTGGATAAAGTATTCTAGTACGATCAACAAAAAGCAAAGCTGAAAGGATTAATCTAAATTTACATTTTATATGAAACAGGCACTGAAGTGAAAGGCAGCTGTTTTATGTGGCTTTTAACCAAACAGTTCGTATAATTAAATCTGAGATGTGTTGTCAAATATCTTTTTCTTTGAAGACTTTTATATAAAGATGGGGTATTAGTTTACTTTTTGCTCTTCACTCAGTTTGGATGAAGTGAACTAGCCAGTTTCACTTTCAAGGGACCAATTTTTATATGGCTCAGTCTTGGAGATGAACGGTTTTCAATCATTTTAGTTTAACATGAACAAAAAGCCTTAGGTAACATTCCTGAATATGCAGACTAGTACATTGAAAACTGTTGTAGCTGAAAATTTGATAGCTTAACACCAGGCTAACACACTTAAACATTGTTTTTGCCCATCAAGACATGGCCTCAATACACACTTTGTCTTACTATGCTTGTGTTGCAGCCACTGCTGGGAAATAATGAAGTAGAACCAAAATCTACCTGTCACAATGTTTTTTTTTTTTTTTTTTAAATGAAAGTTTCCAGTAATCAAAACTGTTTTGGCCTAACGTACTTTTCATCATCTCTTAAATTTATTACATTAACATAGAGGTATGAGACAATCAGAATGAAGCTAAATAAAGATGAGAGAAATTACAGTGAAAGTAAGCTAATATAAATATTTAAAAGGCTGATGGAAATTGAAGACTTAGAGTAACTCTTTTATTGGGCAGATTTTAAACAGGATGCTTCAGCAAACATTTTGAAAATAATGGGACTGTTCAAACAATCAAATAATGGTCTCTTGAATTAATGTAATATTTTATTTTGTTTAATTTTATTTAGACTACTTTAGCAAGTTAGTTTCTTATTTGTATAAAACAGCTAGCTTGTGTAGTGGTATATAAATAACAGAATGTTGATTTACACTTACGAATATACAGAATAGTAGCGTACACAAACACCACTGCCAGTGCCATTTTATTCATAGTGTGGTTTCCCTACTTTAAGTCTTGTATTTTTGAACTTGAAAAGCATCTTTAGACATCCTTTTTAAAAATGGTCTTAAAGCTTATAAGTAAAGTAATGTGACAGTTGAAGCAGACATCTTCTGAGTCAGCTTTTAAGAAAAGTACACTTTTAAAAAAAGAGAAAATTCCAAATTTCTTAACCCATGCTGATCATTAGTTACTAACGGTATGACAGCACAGTGGATGAGAGGTTGGAGTCTTGCTGTAACTGAGGTGTTTGCTGAAATTGTATTTAGAATAGAAATGTCGTTTTTTAGGGAACCTAGAAACAAGAGCAAAGCTGAGGTCTTAACTACGATAAAGGATGGACACCAAAGAAGCTGTGTTGGGGACAAAAACAAAGCAAAATAAGGTAGAGCAAAAGTAGAGGCCACACATCCACACATTGGCTATGGGAAGGGATGAGTGTGGGTGGGGGTTATACTGAATGGGGAAACAGACAGAGGATATTAAATGGGAAAAGTGGTGGAGGCTTTTAACAGTGAAAGGCAAATGAATACTTCTACCTTTTTGTTTTAAACCAGCATCTTCTAACTTAAACTAATTATGCAGGTGACATGGTTTGGAGGAGTAGGGGTTCATCTATGGATTGTATGAAGTTTACCATTCTGGATCATTGCCTTAGCTCTACCAGTTTTACAGATCAAATCTAATTGCTACTGGCAGGTTATAACACATACAGATGCCAGCTGTTTTTAATTAAAAACTTTTCAATTTTGGATATCTCCTACTGTGGTAAGGGGATTCTTCAATTGAACCGTTCTGTTGGCAAACTGAATATAATGGAACTTGTTCCATTCACTTTCATCCTTCATTTCCTTTCTGTGATCAGAAATTATGTTTTTGTTCGTAGCAACATGAACCGTGAAGACCGGAATGTGCTGCGTATGAAAGAAAGGGAAAGGCGAAATCAAGAAATTCAACAGGGCGAAGAAGTCTTTCCACCTAACTCTCCTCTCTTTGCTGAACCATATAAAGTTGTGAGTTTATGCTATTTTTAAAAAATGCAGTTCCTTGTAGCAAAAAAATATTTTCATTTATTTGATTTCTAAACTTTTTTTACCTGATTTTTTTTTTTTCCCCTTTGAGGGCACAGTTCTTGTTTGCAGTGATAACAGACAGGGCTTGAAATGAGGTTGGATGATGATTAAATAGCAGAACTAATAGATGCTCAAAATATCATTCAAGAATAAAGACATTGCTTTACCTGAAAGGATGTGTTGAAAAGGATAATTAAACTTCCACTAATAAGTATTGGTCAGGTCTATTATGGTGGCTGGCTTCTTTTTTGACATTTTTTAGCTTATTGCTCAGCCTACTAGCTTTCATCTACAGCAGGAGTTCTCAGCCTTTTTCTTTTTGAGACCCCCAACAACATGCTATAAAGACTTCAGGACCCAGCTGGGGGGGGGAGGGCACTCAGGACTCTGGTGCAGGGAGAAGGTGGACTGCCTTGGGCGTAGATATAGTTTGACTTTTATTTTGGGTGGACAGAGGCCAGCGGGGCTTGAGCCATTTCTGCAAGGTAGGGTCCAGGAAGAGAGCACCACTTCCACCCTGGGCTCATCTCAGCAAGCTACCTGCTTGTCTGCACCTGGGGAGGAGAGCACAACCAAAACTATAACTCAGAGCAGGGGAAGTTCAGCTCGAAAAAATTGAAAAAAGCTGAGGGGGTAGTTAGGGATGGTGTGTAGCAAGGGTGTAGATCAGGGTACAAGAAGAAGGAGATAAAGGCTGTGTTCAGGCAAGCATGGGGTAGTTCAGGGTGCAGAGAGGGAGACAGCTAGGTGCTGATGTTGGAAGGGCTCCCCCTGCAATTCCTGTTTTCCAAGGGTGCTGCCTGCCAAAGATTTGATTACCCTGCCCAGGAGGTTCTTGCTGGCTGTGTGATCAAAGGGGCTGGGAGCTGAGGAACATCTTCAAACCCCAGCAGCAAGAGATGAGGGAACATCACGGCTACCTGCATCATGGCGGCAGCCAGAACAGCAGGTGTCCTACACTGCCAGTCTGCAGTTTCTCACCTCTGGTGTGGCAAGGGTGAAGACAGAAGGGTGGGTGGGATGCGGGCGAGTTGCCTCAAGACTGCCATGTTCCTCCGTCAGTTCTTGGGTGAGGGCAACACACGCATGTTCCTCCAACACTGCCCATGGGTTTAGTGCTCTGAGGAGCACTTGAACTCAGAGCTCCAGAATTCAGCCCTGCTGTTTCTGGCTTCAGTCATTCAGGGGGTGCTGAGGATGGGGGCTGCAGCCCTGTGACTCCTGACTTCAGCCCCACAAGAGGTGTTGCAGATATGGATTTTAGCCATTGGGGAATGTGGATCCCTGCTGGATCAGAAGTTCTCAAGTACTGTTAGCTAAAAGAAACCAGGAATGGGATATTTGATGCTGGTTTTAAATACAAAACTGCTTAATAGCCTGGAGTTCTTTAATATAGCCAGGTTTTTAAAAAGTCGCTGGCTGTCATGACCTAATTAAGAATTTAATGTAACTTTTTTATTTTCTTTACAAACTCTTTAAAGTTCCTATTTATGATTTTTAAACCCTACTAGATTATCTCCCAGGGATCTGTTTAGGTCACACTCAACACCAGTAAAATAATATTTGTGCGCTTGAGGCAGAAACTAATTTTGAGAGGGTAAGGTAATGACATGAATGCTTGTAATATTTTATCATTGAAGAACAGTAAAAAAAACAGTTTCTTTCAGAGTACTCTCCTGGTAATTGAAGAAATGAGACTTGGGGCATGTCAGTGTTAGAAAGTTTTGCTGCATTAATTATATTGTTAAAGTGGTTAAATCTCCTAGCGTGAGCATCGTTATATGGTAGAGAAATAAATACTTGTTCCAGTTCGGTAAGTAGAATTGGTGTAACTGCTGATGCTAGAGCTTGGACCAGTAGGACTGCCATTAAGAAATAAATCTTTATCTTAATTGACATAGTTCCATCTGTTTTTCCAGGAAAACCAGCCTTTAAACATCATTTAAGCACTTATTAGAGAAGTAGCCTCAGTCTGAAAGATTAGTTAAGGGGCTGAGAGGTATGTTTTGGTGATGTGTGGGTGGTGGTGTGTTTTTTTTTTTTTTTTTTTTTTTTTTTTTTTTTTTTTTTTTTGGAACCACTTATCTATTTGAGGTTCTTAATATAACTGGTACAACTGTTCCTTGCTGATCTAAAGCTATACTGTGTGGAACTCATGTTTTTCTTTGATAAATGCAGCTCAACTTTGGCCCAGGTTCTAGTGAGAATATTACTGAAAAGATACTTAAACAAAATGTCCACTACTGGATTCATAAATGAACACTGATAAATTGTGCTAGAGAATGAATGGAATTGACAAGAAAAACTATCTTAAATCCCTTATTTAACTTTTGTTTTTGTTTTCCTTGTCCAAGCTGAGAAATGAATAAGAACCGCATAAATAATAGATTCTTTCCTTAAAAGTGCTCATGCCCCATTTATGTGGCTACCAATACTTCCTCACAGCTCTCTTACGCAAGAGTTCTGTGATAATACAATTCTTAAAAGCCCTGAGCTTTGAACAAAATGTGCTTTGGACCATCTATTTCATATGGCTGAAAGAAAAAAAAATTCTATTGTCACAGAATTATAGCAGAATTTAAAAGGAACGGTGGCATTTAAGGGTCTTTAAATCTTTCCATTTTTTTTTAACAGTTAGCTTCTTATTTCCTTAAATTGCTTTGGACCATTTTCCCAGAAGCTAGCAAATTAAGTGTACTTAGGCTTCTATAGGATGGCCTAGTTAAATTTAATTTTTCTTTTACCTGCTGTGTCAATAAGGATTTAGGTCATTAATTTCTAGAAATAGGCAGCCAAAGCCCATCCACTGCTGAAAGGGTAGTGGATATGATGTGAGATTTAAAGCCAGGAACTATATGGAAAGACGTTGACTCAGTGAGGGATTTGGAGGAATGTGAGGAAGGGGTTATTGAATATAGAAAATGGCATATAATAGCCCATTTGATCTATCTGGCAGTTGAACAGTGCTTAGCTAATACAGCTGAACTGGCCATACAATAATAGATAAGGTTGGCTTTGTGCCAACCTCTAATAGTTTCTAATACATTGGGCAAAATTTGTCCCTTAACTCTTTGGCCAGTCTGTCTGCTTTCGATAGATGGTTCTTGGTTCTGGTGGAAGATTCTGCCATTACAAGATGGACATTTTTTTCTGTATTGAATCCATTATACTTCATAAACTAATATCTGTAATCTAGCTGTTATTTTCTGATAATAGGAAACTGCATTTAATGTTAAACTTGATTAAACTTTATGGATATGCTATTTATTAGCCCACTGAAGGCTTCCTGTTAGTGGTACACCACCAAATGTTCTTTTATCATGTGGGGGTTACAGCTTTTAAGAATAAAAAAAGGATACTTTTAAAGATAGATGGGGGAGAGAGTAAAGATAAAATCACTTAATAGGATGAATGAGATGTTAAAAATAAGATGACTAGCTTTAGAAATCAGAAGGGAGTAATAACTACATATTTCTGTATTAATTAGGAGAATAACCTTTAGTACTTCTCTGGAATAAGAGATGAAACTGGGGTAGTACACAAAATAGACTTGGATGCTGACAAAGTTCTGAACCCTGTTGTGTAGGTTTACTATTGTAGTTCTGGGTCATAAGAACATAAGAATGGCCATACTGGGTCAGACCAAAGGTCCATCCAGCCCAGTACCCTGTCTACCGATAGTGGCCAAAGCCAGGTGTCCCAGAGGGAGTGAATCGAACAGGTAATGATGGAGCGATCTCTCTCCTGCCATCCATCTCCACCCTCTGACAAACAGAGGCCAGGGACACTATTCCTTACCCATACTGGCTAATAGCCATTAATGGACTTAACCTCCATGAATGTATCTAGTTCTCTTTTAAACCCTGTTATAGTCCTAGGTTCCACAGATGTTCCTTTTATTTGTTTTAAACCTGCTGCCCATTAGTTTCATTTGGTGGCCCCTAGTTCTTATATTATGGAAACAAGTAAATAACTTTTCCTTATTGGCTATCTCCACACCACTCATGATTTTATAGACCTCTATCATATCCCTCTTCAATCTCCTCTTTTCCAAGCTGAAAAGTCCCAGTATCTTTAATCTTTCCTCATATGGGATCTGTTCCAAACCCCTAATCATTTTAGGTGCCTTTTCTAATGCCAGTATATCTCTTTTGAGATGGAGACCATATCTGTACACAGTATTCAAGATGTGGGTGTACCGTGGATTTATATAAGGGCAATAAGACATTCTCTGTCTTACTCTCTATCCCTTTTTAATGGTTCCTAACATCCTGTTGGTTTGTGTACCTAAAGCCAAGTGTATATATCTTAGATTTAGGAATCTTATTTTAAAAATACTACTTAAATGTATTTTGAATCTTATATTTTTGTTGTACTTTGTACAGACCAGCAAAGAAGATAAACTCTCTAACCGTATTCAGAGCATGCTTGGAAATTATGATGAAATGAAGGATCTTATAGGCGACAGATCTCTACAAAAGCTTGTTGGTATTCCCAAACCAACAGTACCATCAACGCCAGATGAAAAATCAAACCAAAGTTTCTTTGGTGAACAGAGACACAGTACCAGCTCTCATCAGAGCAGCAAATGGACTCCTGTAGGGCCAGCACCTAGCACTTCCTCCCAATCACAGAAACGGTCCTCAGGTTTACAAACGGGACACAGTAGTCAGCGGAGCAGTGGCAATAACACTAGCAACAGTGGCCAGAGGCATGACCGTGACTCATATGGTGGTAGCAGCAGCAGCCGCAAAAAAAGCCAGCACGGATCAGAACACTCCAAATCTCGTTCTTCCAGCCCTGGAAAACCATCTGCTGTTTCTTCGTTGAGCTCCAGCCATTCTCGGTCTCATGGAAGTGATCATCATAGCAAAGAACATCAGCGTTCAAAGTCTCCACGGGATCCTGATGCAAACTGGGACTCACCTTCCCGTGTACCTTCATTTTCAAGTGGACAACACTCTAACCAGTCTTTTCCTCCTTCATTAATGTCCAAGTCCAATTCAATGTTGCAGAAGCCCACTGCCTATGTAAGGCCCATGGATGGACAGGAGTCCATGGAACCAAAGTTGTCCTCTGAACACTACAGTAGTCAAACGCATAGCAACAGCATGAGTGAGCTGAAGCCTAGCAGCAAAGCACATCTAACCAAGCTCAAAATACCTTCTCAGCCATTAGACGTAAGTTGGTACGAACGTGTGTGGTTTGTTTTTAAAGGGGTGGGTGTATCTTTTTTTTTTTTTTTTTTTTCTTCCCCACAGCATCTATGGCTAGGATTTTCAGAGACACTTAAGGGAGCAGGGTGCCTAACTTCTATAGGCTGCACTGAATATCCAAGCTTCTGTGACTACCCTCAATTTACTACAAAAATACAGGGCTTCATTCTGGAAAATGAAGCAAATTTGTAGCTTGGTCAGTGAGCAGTCGCACATTTTTCTTTTATATTTTAAGGAGTATCTTGTTTGTTTTTCGTTTTACATCCCCATTGTGAATTACATAATTGCACATCATGTTGAAGATTTTATGGTCTCCTGCTCTTTTTGAACCAAATTCTCTTTTAAAGTGTCATAATTGTGCATAATTTACCTACAGTTTTTTAAAAAGCAATTTACAGGTCCGGCAACATGCATGATCTGGCAGGACCAGGGTTGTTCCTGGGCCACTGAGCCCAGGTATGGGGAGGTAGGGCCATGGAGCAGGATTGTGGTGGAGGGCTGGTGACTCAGATGGGGGCCCCCTTTGGGGGCAAGGCAATGGAGAGTTCTGCCCCCCGTTCCCAGGAGGAAGCAGGAGTCGTCAGTGGCCACAGAGCTCCAGCCGCAGTCAGGGAACTCCAGCCCCCACTGCTGAACTCATGTCCGGCAGTGGCTGTGGGGATCTGGAAGCATCAGCTTGGGGAGCCACTGCCAGGCAGGCAGCAGCAGTGCTGGGCTAGAACCCTAGCAGAAGGCAGTTCAGGATGGGCCATATTGGGAGGTACCTGCCCTGGTTTAGCAAATCCCCTCGATTGGGACTGGTCAGGTCCCGAAGATGCTGGATGAGGGAGGTCCAACCTGTAACTAGGTTTCAGAACTTAGTCTATAAGGTGCCACAGGACTCCTCATTGCTTTTGCAGATTCAGACTAACACAGCTACCCCTCTGATACTTTAGTAAGATGCTGTTGCCTCAACTCTTAGCTGCTCAAATATTAGTAGTTGCGAGTCTTTTAGATATCCCAAATAAGTGGTAAATAAAATCTAGAAAATACTGGTCCTAGTTATTTTATGCATAGGGAAAGGCATTTATGCCAAGTATTCAGAAATGTGGGAGTAATTTATACTTTAAACTATGACAAGCAGTATTGTAGCTCTCTACCCCTCTACATATATTAGGACACACAGAAGGAGTTACTAAAGTACGAATACTTTAAGTACCTCTTTTGCCCTATCTATGCATTCATTAATAATTAAGTTGATGAGAGAATAGGCCTGAACAGGTTACAGCTTACCATTATGCTATTTCAGATAGTGCCCAGTGACTTGCCTTGTGAATGTATGGTTTAAAAATAAATCCACGCTTTCATATGTTTGTAAGACACTGATGTGTTAAGATCTTGTTAACATTTAAGTGAAGGATACAGATGAAGGGTTTGAATAACATATTTAGGATATTACATCTCCTGTGCTATTTCTAAATGTGACTGCTTCGTGCCATAGAACATCTAGGGTATCTGCAATTCTAGAAATGGATGATAAAACTATTGTTGGTTCTTTAGTCCAGCATTGCTACTCCTTTCACTGATTCAAGATGAATATCAGCAGCACTTGGCCACAAACAAGTCTCACTTCAAATCCTGCTATGTTAAGGTGGGGGAGCCTTTAGAAGTATATATGAAATATTTAATCCTGAACTTCAATTTGTAGGCATCAGCATCTGGTGATGTGACCTGTGTGGATGAAATTCTAAAAGTGAGTTCTCTGTTCTTCTGGTTCTTGTCTTTATTAAATAAGCACCGGCAATGGGGGAAACTAAAGTAAAGGTTGCACCTCCCTATTCTGGCATCCTTGGGACCTGACTGGTCCCAAACGAGGGAGTTTGCTGGACCAGAGAGGGTCAATTCTAGCCTATTTGCCTCCAGGCTCTCTTGGGGGGGTTTCCAGCCTCCTTTCTGGGCTCTCTTTCTGAGTCCCAGGCTTCTCTCACGAATGCCGGCCCTGCTGCCAGGGGCCCTGCTGCCAGGCTCCCTGCCCCCAGGCTGCCAGCCCGACTTCACTGCTATCCCTGGCCGCCCTTCTGGCCACTGGCCCTCCAGCCACTGGAATGGCTCTGCTCCTGGTTACTGGCCAGGCTCTGATCCCAGCCCACCACTGTTCCCAGACCCAGCCAGGCTTCCAGCTCTGTTCTCTGCCTGGCTCTGCTGCTAGCACCCTTTCCTGGCTTGGCTCCTGCTCCAGCCTCTCTGTCACTGGACTCCCAGCCAGACCCCGCTCCCAGTCGCCGGGGTTCTCTGGTCCAACAACCAAAGTGTCCCGGACCCAAGATGTTCGACCTGTACTTGTCCTGCCCGCACATGAGGGAAAACTAACTCTGTTCCAGGAATGTTACTTACACTACCTAATTCCTTAAATTGTCAGTGTGCTAGGTACATGGATTCTAGTTTCTGCTGCAACTGCTAACTTTAAAGCCACTGTGCCTGCTACCTTCCTAGAACCTAAAGTATTGACCCAAATTGACATCTGTTTTAAACTTGTTGATAAGCTGCTTTGTTCCTACAAAGCTTCTGTTAATACCTTTATCAGTCCTATGTATTTATTGAATGTGCTTTAGATTTCCATTTTCATGGTAGGGATGTAAGCAACTAGTTGACTATCTGATGAGCAAATGCTTATTGGATAGTGGATTAGTGACTCAACTAATCACTCCACCCCTGGCTCCACACCCACCTTGCTGCCTCTATCAGAGAGGCAGTGGAGCGGGGGGGAAGCAGAATCTGATGCTGGGGAGGAAGAGGCTTAAAAGCTGGTTTTCCCTCGGCATGGTCTCTGTAAGGAGAAGGGGCAGAGGCACAGTGGGGACCTGGCAGCTCTTCTGCCTTCGAAATGTAGCAAGAGCAGGGCTCTTGAAACATTCCAAACGCAGAAGCACTGTGGGGAGCCTGGGGTGAGCTGGGGACTCAACAGTCTCCCATTGACCCCACGCTCCCTGCTTTTGAAATGTACAAGAGTCTCTAGAGGGCTCTTGTACATTTCAGGAGCGAAGCACCACCAGCATGCAGGGCCAGTGGGGGACTCAATCTTCTGCTGCTGGGCCTGTGCTTCCTGCTTTTGAAACGTACAAGAACTCAGGAGGGCTCTTGTACATTTCAAAAGCAAAATGCTACAGGGAGAGAGGGACAATTTGAGTCTCCTGCTGTCCTGTGCTCCCAGTGGTGCTTTGCTTTTGAAATGTACAAAAGCACTTTCAGGGCTCTTGTACATTTCAAAGGGAGAGGCTCTCTTATCGACTAATTGAATAGTCAATGCAAATTACATTGACTATTCAATTAGTTGATTGATCTGAATTTAACATCCTTATTTCAGTTAAATATTTTTAAAAAATTTCTGGATTTCTCAGCAAAAATGTGTTAATTTATAGACACAGAATGGAGCAACATACTCAGAACTCTGTCAGATATGTTTAGTAAACATGAAAAAAGAAATTTGTCTCTAAGATTAAAGTAAATACATTAAATCTTAGGTTTTACATCTAATGACTATAGATTAAAAAGCTATTCACACTTCTGTCTGAAATATTTTTAAGTTGACATTTTGATGTGTTCTTACCTTGATGTATCAAGGCTTCGCTTTTTGGTTTGGTTACAGGAGATGACCCACTCTTGGCCTCCCCCTCTGACTGCTATTCATACACCATGCAAAACAGAACCTTCAAAATTTCCTTTTCCAACTAAGGTTAGTGAATAACAAATCTAACTTCATGTTTTGTTCAGTAGACAAATATTGCATGATATTAAAACTAGAGAAACTCTTTTTAAAGTTCAAGAATTGCATTGCAGGGTTTAAAGCTCTTGTTAAATTCAACAGTGTATTGTCATTTGGGGTTTGTTGAACACATGCAAAAATGTGTCTGAAAATCCACCCTGAGTTTGCAGCAGTGCCCATGATAGCTCTGTAAGGAGCACAGTTCTGTCCTTCCCTATGTACATTCATTCAACTGCTATATCTTCCTAAAATGAACAAAAGTGGAAGGCAGTATTCTGCTGCTGTTGCTTCAGTCCCATTGGCTATGTCTAGACTGCAGGGAAGAGATCGTCCGCAAAAACTTCTTGCGTAAGAACGTGTCCACGCTGCAAGTGTGCATGGAAAAAGTGAAGGGCTTTTGCTAAAGAGTGTCCAACTCTATAGATGCTCTCTTGAAAGTAAGCACTGATTGATATGCACAGAATGACCACCAGGTACTTGTGCTTTTTTCTCTTTCTTCTTTTTGCACAAAAACCCTCTTTTCCCCATCCACACACGCCTTTTTGCGAAAGAAATCTTTCGCAAAAAGGCTTCTTCCTCGTAGAAAGAAGAATACCAATTGCATAAAAATCCCTTTGTTCTTTCCATTCTCTTGCACAAAAATATGCTTGAGATGTGGACGCTCTGAGTTTTTGCGGAAAAACAGCCGTTTTTCAACAAAAACTCTGAAGTGTAGACCTAGACATTGAGAGTAGTGGAAAATAACAGCCATTTTGAAAGAGAGGAATAGGTTTTTTTTAAGTAAATACTGCTATTTTCCATAAGTAGGGGCTGAAGAAGAAACTGTTTGTTACTAAGAGCTTTGTTAAGACCATTAATCTTAAAAAGGTTTCTTTTTTAAAAGTACCCATTGCATCGGATCTGTTCAGTAGGAAAGAAGGGGAAAAGAAAACGTGTACGTGTGTGGGGGCAGGAGGCGCACGCGCATGTAGAAATGTGGGTCGGATCAAGAAGGGGGACCTGCACAGTACGCTCTGGCTGCTTTGTGCTGCCCTGTTAAGTATGTACTGGTAGATCTGGTCCTGAAAGTTTAAAAAAAACAAACAAACTCCTTAAGTTGCTAGTATGTATCTTAAGATGATTAGAAATATCATATAGTAACGTTGTCTTAGTTTTTCATGTATAATATTTTTCATTAAAAACATAAGAGAATTTTGAGATGAAAAATTTGAGTAATTTAAGAGTAAAAGCATTTAGGGATCCTGTAATTATTCCTATAGTCAGGGCTCGACAAATAATGCAATCTACTCACCTGTGGCGAGTAGATTGCAACCCGGAAGAGCCGGGTTTGGGCGATCTGCACATGTGCAGAATGATCTGCACATGCGCAGACCGCCGGACAGCGCAACTGGTGAGCGGGGCTCGCTGTGGTTCGGCGAGCCCTGCACATAGTCAACCATCACGAATGCAAGAAATGCAAAGGAAAGGTTAAACTTCAGAAAATCAGACATACAAAGAATGGAAATGCACAGCTAAGGCACTTGAAAACAACCTTAAATCTGTTCAATTGATGTTTTCAGCCCTGCCTTCTTTCCTTCCCTTCCCCCATATAATTTAAAAAATCAGTATTTGTAGATCTACAGTCAACAAAATAGTCACGCTCTAATAACAATTGCATATGTGTTAGCCTGGTATCACTTCCTGGAATGAGGCATCACTAAAAGAAGATAGTGCAGCTCTTACATTTATCCCTCTTGTTTCTCATGTATGATCAACAATGAAAAAACATTTAGGGGACTTCAATTATACAGATATAGGTTAGGAAAATAACACAGCGGGACACAGACTTTCCAATAAGTTCTTGGACTGCATTGGGGACAACTTTTTATCTCGTGAAGACATTTTTTTATTTCAGAAGGTTGAAAAATCTACTCTGGGGGAAGCTGTTCTAGATTTGATTTTAAAAAATAGGGAGGAACTTGTTGAGAATCCGAAAGTGATCATGAAATCAGAGCTCATGATTCTAAGGAATGGTAGAAGGGAGAACAGCAAAATAGAGACAATGGATTTCAGGAAGGCAGATTTTGGTAAGCTTAGAGAGCTGGTAGGTCAGGTCCCATGGGAAGCAAGACTAAGGGGAAAAACAACTGAAGACAGTTGGCAGTTTTTCAAAGGAACATTATTAAGCGCCCAAAAGCAAGCTATTCCGCTGCATAGGAAAGCTAGAAAGTATGGCAAAAGACAGCCTTGGCTTAACCAATAGATCTTGAATGTTCTAAAAATCAAAATGGAGTCATATAAAACGTGGAAACTAGGACAAATTACAAAGGATGACTATAAGCAGACAATATAAGTATACTGGGGCAATATTAAAAAGGCAAAGGCATAAAATGAGCTCTAACGAGCTATGGGAATCAAGGGAAACAAGAAAACTTTTTATAAATACATTGGAAGCAAGAGGTAGACCAAGGAGAGGGATAGGCCCACTGGTCAGGAGGGAGAAACAGTAACAGGAAACTTGGAAATGGCAGAGATGCTTAATGACTTCTCTGTTTTGGTCTTCACCAAGAAGTTTGAAGGAACGCCTAACATAGTGAATGCTAGTGGGAAAGGAGGTAGGTTTAGAAGATAAAATAAAAAAAAGAACAAGTTAAAAATCACCTAGAAAAGTTAGATGCCTGCAAGCCACTAGGGCCTGATGAAATGCATCCTAGAATACTCAAGGAGCTGATAGAGGAGGTATCTGAGCCTATAGCTATCATCTTTGGAAAATCATGGGAGACAGGAGAGATTCCAGTGGTTGACTTACAACCGTTCGCAGTTACGACCAAAGCTGTCGTAAATGGCGGACCCCGAGTTACAAACGCCATCTGTGCTTACAAACAGCACGGTCACATGTAACTCAATGGGGTCCGACTTACGAGTGAACCGAGTTATGACCAACTGCTCAGTCCGTAACTGGTTCGTAAATCAGGTGGATGTGGTATACCTAGACTTTAGTAAGGCATTTGATACGGTCTTGCATGATATTCTTATCAATAAACTAGGCAAATACAACTTAGATGGGGCTACTATAAGGTGGGTGCATAACTGGCTGGATAACCATACTCAGAGAGTAGTTATTAAGTTCACAATCCTGCTGGAAAGGTATAACAAGTGGGGTTGTGCAGGGATCTGTTTTGGGATCAGCTGTGTTTGATATCTTCATCAACGATTTAGATATTGGCATAGAAAGTACGCTTATTAAGTTTGCAGATGATACCAAGCTAGGAGGGGTAGCGACTGCTCTGGAGGATAGGGTCATAATTCAAAATGATTTGGACAAGTTGGAGAAATGGTCTGAGGTAAACAGGATGAAGTTTAATAAAGACAAATGTAAAGTGGTCCACTTAGGAAGGAACAATCAGTTTCACACACACAGAATGGGAAGCGACTGTCTAGGAAGTAAAAATGATCTGGACAAATTGGAGAAATGGTCTGAGGAAAACAGGATGAAGTTTAATAAAGTCAAATGCAAAGTGCTCCACTTAGGAAGGAACAATCAGTTTCACACACACAGAATGGGAAGCGACTGTCTAGGAAGTAGCACGGCAGAAAGGGATCTAGGGGTTATAATGGACCATAAGCTGAATGAGAGTCAGCAGTATAATGCTGTTGCAAAAAAAGCAAACATGATTCTGGGATGCCTTAACAGGAGTGTCGTGAGCAAGTCACGAGAAGTCATTCTTCCGCTCTACTCAGCGCTGGTTAGGCCTTAGTTGGAGTACTGTGTCCAGTTCTGGGCACCACATTTCAAGAAAGATGTGGAGAAATTGGAGAGGGTCCAGAGAAGAGCAACAAGAATGATTGAAGGTCTAGAAAACATGGCCTCTGATGGAAGGCTGAAAGAATTGGGTTTGTTTAGTTTAGAAAAGAGAAGATTGAAGGGGGACATGATTGCAGTTTTCAGATTTCTAAAAGGGTGTCATGAGGAGGTAGAAAACTTGTTCATCTTGGTCTCTGGGGATAGAACGAGAAGCAATGGGCTTAAACTGCAGCAAGGGAGGTTTAGGTTGGACATTAAGAAAAAGTTCCTAACTGTCAGGAATAAATTGCCCAGGGAGGTTGTGGAATCCCCATCGCTGGAGATATTTAAGAGTAGGTTAGGGTATGTCTACACTTGCAGCCTAATTAAAACTAGGGCTGCAAATGTAGGCATTCAGAATTGCAAATCAAGCCCGGGATTTAAATATCCTGCGCTTGATTTGCACGTTCCCGGCCGGGCGCCATTTTTAAAAATTTACAAGCCTGGACTAACTGCCCGTGTCTACACGTAGCAGGGAAACAGGCGTTCGAAATAAAGCCCTATTTCTAACTACCTGTTAAACCTCATTGCAGGAGGAACAACAGGTAGTTTGAAATAGGGCTTTATTTCGAACGCATGTTTCCCTGCTGTGTGTAGATGCAGGCAGTTAGTCCGGGCTTGTAAATTTCAAAAAATGGCACCTGGCTGGGAACATGCAAATCAAGCGCAGGATATTGAAATCCCGGGCTTGATTTACAATTCTGAATGCCTACATTTGCAGCCCTAGTTCGAATTAAGCTGCGATGTAGACATACCGTATAATAAATGTCTATCTGGGATGATCTAGACCAGTGGTCTCCAGCCTTTTTACACCCAAGATCACTTTTTAAGTCTCAGAACAGGTGAAGATCTACTGCCCCGCCCCTTCCTTGAAGCCCCGCCTACATTACATGAGGAAATCTAATGTAAATGTACTGCGCAGGTGCGCAGTTCAGAGAGGGCTCAAGAGCTACTCTTAGAGCCCCTTAGATCTACTGGTTGGTGACCACGGATCTAGACAGTATTTGGTCCTGCCACGAGGGCAGGGAATTGGGCTCGATGACCTCTCAAAGTCCCTTCCAGTCCTAGTATTCTGTGATTCTATGATTGCAATATTGTTCTGCTCCAAAATCAACGCACCATTAAAATGGATTGGGGCAGCCTGCTC